TATATATATATATATATGTGTGTAGTTTATTTATAATATTTATATATTTATATATATATTTTTTTTTACATTCTAGGACATTCCGTCTCAAAGGGAGGTTTAGTCAGATTTAGGCAATGCCTGGGGAAAATATGCTCTTATAGTACATCTAAACACACACACACACACACACACACACATACACACACACACACACACACACACACGATTACTTCAGTTGTGTTTATGCCAGTGAGAGAAAGTGGAAATGTCAGTGTCACTGTGTTTTCCAGAACTGACAGAGAGTGTTTGGGCAGTGAACTGTGTGTGTGTGTGTGTGTGTGTGTGGAGCTGTGTGTGTGTGTGTGTGTGTGTGTGTGTGTGTGTGTGTCCTCCTCCCTCCCACTCTCGCTCCACATCTCTGCCACACGGAATTCATTACTCCTCTATTTGCAAGTTATTCCGCTCGAATGGGAATTGCCGTAGTAGCCCGTCCCCTCGGACAAAGAAATTGCGTGAAATTGCACAATAACTCAGGGATTGGAAACATGTTTTTTTTCTGTTTTATTGAGTGGATTTTGTTGTGTCAGGAATTGCTCTCTCGCTCGCTATGTAACCGTAACCAGAAACAGTTTCTTCTTGTAGCCATTTTCAACCAATGCACATATAAGCCACGAGAGGCTTTCATGCACTGCGTTAAATACACCAGTGTGCAATACTGTAATTGTAGAATGTGACCCTGGAGCACAAAAGCAGTCTTAAGTCGCTGGGGTATATTTGTAGCAATAGCCAAAAATACATTGTATGGGTCAAAATAATATATTTTTTTTAAATGCCAAAAATCATTAGGATATTAAGTAAAGATCATGTTCCATGAAGATATTTAGTAAATTTCCTACCGTAAATATATTAAAACTTCATTTTTGATTACTAATATGCATTGCTAAGAACTTCATTTTGACAACTTTAAAAGAGATTTTCTCAATATTTAGATTTTTTTTTTGCACCCTCAGATTCCAGATTTTCAAATAGATGTATCTCGGCCAAATATTGTCGTATGCTAACAAACCGTACATCAATGGAAAGCTTATTTATTCAGCTTTTCCAAATATTGACCCTTATGACTGGTTTTGTGGTCCAGGGTCACATATGATCTGGTTTGTAAGGAAACCTATTTGCTCAAATGAATCAGTAAATGGAATCATATGATTAATTAAATTGCCTGAGCTTAGCAATTTGTTTATATGAATCAATGTTTTGAACTGTTTGATTCAATGGAATTGTTCGAATGATGCAATTTGCTCATATGAATCAACTGCTTGATTTAGGTAAACCATCCAAAAAATCTTATTTGTTCAATTAAATTGGTGTTTTGAACTGATTTAGTCAATTTATCCTTCTGTACAAACCTATTTGCTGAAATGAATCAATATTTTGAAACTGAACATCTAAAAGAACCAGTTTGTTGCAATGGATCAATATTTTGAGATCTTTTAACTTTTCAGACAAAGCAATTTGCTTCTGTGAATCATTGTTTTGAACTGGCTTATGAAATAGAATCGTCCGAATGAACCAGTTTGCTCAGATGAATCACTTTTAATGAAATCGAACTGTTTAATTAAATTGTCTGAACTTTTCTCATATGAAGCAGTGTTTTGAACTGATTGATTAAATTGAACTGTCTGAACAAAGCAATTTGCTCAGTTAAATCAGTATTTTGAACTGCTTTATAAACTGAACATCTAAAAGAAACGATTTACTCAAATGGATCACTTGTTTGAGCTCTTTGATTCCAAACGAACCTGTTTGTTCAAATGAATCATTTTTCCCCAGTACTATTGTTTTGTTGTTGTTAAAGGCCTTTTTCAAACAGTGTGCATATAAAAGTCATGAGAGGCTTTAATGCACCAGTGTGCAATATTGTAATTGTATAATGTGACATAAATATCCTGTATAATATGAACAAAACCCTGTTGTTTTTTAAACTGCGGGAAATTTCGGAATTCTTTCCAAGTTCTAAAAGGCTGGGATGTGGCGGAATTCCTAATTTTTAAATTCAGGCCTTGTTCACAGACATTTTGGCACCCAGTATGTTTATTGGGTGAGGGGTCTGTGAATGTTTGTTAATCTAATGAATAATTGATTTGTTAAATCAAATGACAAATGGTGTGTCTGATTGGTCCAGACGCTACAATTGTGTCATCTTTGAGAAAGCACACTAAAGACTTCCAGAATGTTCCCCTGCGATGAACTCTTCCCGTTGGAGGCTCGGAGCGTTTGGTAGCTTTTCCGAAGCCTCACAGGTGCTGGAGTGGCTCTGGAGCGCTGGATCGGGGTTTGTTGTTTCTGGAGCGTCACAGAGGAGCGTGGCTGGGTTCCTCGCAGCTGTCACTTTCAGGAAACGCTCCTTCAGGGCTGGAAGAGAGAGAGAGTGTGCTGCTTTCCTGTCTGATTGAGCTTTAGTCAGATCACTGATCGAAGCAATCTCTCTGTCTCTTGCTCTTTATTTTTCTGTCAAGCTGCACATTTGAGAAAGTAGTCAGCAACACTTTATTTCACAATCGTTATTTTGAACTAATCGAATGAACCACTTTAATCAAGTGAATGAAAATTTTGAACCGGTTCACTAAACGAATCATTTGCTTAAATGAATCACTATTCTGAACTGTTTGATTAAATTCAGTTTTGTCCAAATCGTTCGCTCAAATTAATTGGCATTGAATTAGCAAACATCCAAATTAACCAATTTTTCCGAATTGCTCATTTTGTTAAACGCTTTATTTAAATTGTCCGAACAGCAATTTGCTCATATGAATCATTGTTGTGATCTGTTTGGTTAAATTGAACTGTCCAGACGGAGTAATTTACTCATATGAATCAATATTCTAAAAGAACAATTTGCTCAAATTAATCACTATTCTGAACTGGTTGATTAAATTGAATTGTCTGAACATAATTTGCTCACGTGAACCAGGGTTTGAACTGTTTGATTAAATTGAACTGAAGCAATTTGCTCATACAAATCAGTGTTTTGAACTGGTTCATTTAAATGAATCTTATTTACTCAACTGAATTAGTATTTTGAACTGATTCGGTTAATTGAACGATTCAAACAAAATCAGTATTTTGAAATGGCTAAATGAAATCATTCGAATGAACAAAATTGCTCAAATGAATCACATTTTTGAACCATTTGATTCATTAAAATTTTCTGAACATAGTAATTTGCTCAAATGAATCAGTGTTTTGATTAAACTGCCCAGACAAAGGAATTTGCTCATATGAATAGATATTTTGAACCAATTCTCCAAAGTGAACATCTCAAAGCACAATTTGCTCAAATGAATCACTATTCTGAACTGGTTCTTTAAACTGAATTGTCCGAACGAACCAATTAGCTCATGTGAATTGCTGTTTTCAACTGGTTGATTTAAATTAACCGTCTGAACTTATTTGCTCAACTGAATTAGTAGTTTAAACAGATTTGTTAAACTGAACCATCCAAGCCAAACTGTTTGCTCAAATGACTTGTTATTTAATTAAATTGTCCAATTTGCACATGAATCAGTGTCTTGAACCTTTTGATTTAAATGAACCATATAAACAATCACATTTGCTCAACCGAATTACTATTTCAATCTGATATATAAACCTATTTGCATGAATTAATCAATATTGTGAACCATATCTCTAAATTGAACATCTAAAAGAACCAGTTTACTCAAATGAATCACTATTTTGAACAATTCTTCAATTCTTCAATTCAATTCTTCTCAAAATTGTCCAAATGCATATGAATCAGTGTCTTGAACCTTTTGATTTAAATG